TGATATTTTCAACAACATTCAGAAAAATGTGATACAGCTGATGCACATGTCAGTTAATTATAAATATATAAAACACTGGAGAGTAAAATATTAAACAAAGTAGCTTCCTGAGTAAAGTAAAATATCACATGAGTTTCTCATAGGACAACCTCACTTACTTACTTTACGGACGTGCTTTTCGTAATTAGACCTTGGTTGAACCAGTTATCTTTCATTTGTGATCATTAAAAAGGGTGCGTTGCACATTTTCTTAACCGCTTGGCTGCTGAAGTCACACATTTTGCATTTAGATTTAGCGAGTCTTAATTCTGTGCAGCCCGTTCTGATTTAGTGTACCATGTGAGTAAATGCATTTGTCTCTGATGGGACATAGAAACACGCAAAGCTGATACCTGGCTGACTACGACATGAAATGTCCAATGCAGACATGAAATAACATGTCAGGCCATTTTCAAAGGGAATACAAACAATCATAAATCATCTAAGTTAAGTACCGTTTAACAGCATGTGCCATTTATAAAATATATGCTCTTCACTGTTATGTCTCTCTTTGGGACAGAAAAAATAATCTGCAGTTTTAAATTCAATGATCCATTTGGTTAGTGCCGTTTTTACCCGTCTACGTCCTTCTCAGGTTTGAGTGTGTTCAACACTCGAGTGGTGAGGGAAGCAGGGGGGAGGTGGAGGTAGACTCCGTGCACCCTGGGGTCTTCATTCAGCTTCAAAACCTCCTCAACAATCTACACACATTCACACAAAGACAAAATACACATAACAGAAGATGTGAAACAAGTCACATTTCCAATAGTAACGGTATGACTACTGTCTCTAGGGTTTAAAAAAGGCCTTCACACCTCAAGGTAAAGTTTTTGAAACCTAATGATCTTAATCTAACATATTTTATTTGAATAAAGAAGTGATTCAAAACATGCCACGAGGTGAATCATTAAACTCAACATCAAATTTAAGGCCAGTGCTTTTGACTGAGCATACACAGTGATTTCCGAGGGAGTAATAGTGTGACAGAGGGGAAGATTTTTTAAACAGAGGAAAGATATGTGAAAGTGGAGCAGAGGATCAGTAGAACCCTTTGGGCCAGGAATTGTAATGTAAATCCATTCTCTCTCAGCTGAAACCTCCAAGCTATTCACAGAGGTTTATCCTTTCTCTATGCCTCATGCATTGACTAAAACCTGGTTAAAGAGAGTAAAACTTAGATGCTGAAAATACTATGAAGTGAAAAAAGAAGTGAAAACAGAACCCCAAAGAGTGACAAAGTATATTAGGAAATCAGGGATTAGTCTTGCAACAGAGTTGCATCAAAGCTTATGTTAGGCACCGATTACCTTGATGCGCTTCACACAACCACCATGATCACATGCTACACAGACAAACATCCAGGAGATGCTAAATCAAGCACTGACTTGCTGAAAATAAGGGGTTAGGAAGAGTTTTTCTAGTTTTAGGCATGTAGGGAAATTAAGCAAATGCCTGAGTCAGCTTCACTCAGTGCTTCTCAAAGTGTGGTCCGCGGACCACTGGTGGTCTGTGACCGCTCCCTAGTGGTCCGTGAGTATATTGGAAAAATTTCACATTTGAAATAAATAAATACATTTAAGTTTTCTGCACTCTTGCGGGAATATCTCCGCAATGGAGCGAGCTTAAGTTTCACTTTCGATTGCATGATATAGCCCAGATAAACACCTTCATCACACATGTTGCCACTTGTTTGTACCATTTTCAGGCGATTTATAAAAAACGATGTGTTTTTGGATATTTGTGGAGTTAGGTGGTCCGCGAGTGTTTTTTTATTGGTTAAGTGGTCCTTGGTATGAAAAAGTTTGAGAAACACTGACTTACATCATCTTCACTACACTCCTTTGCCAGACAAATCTGTGTGATGTTTAGTCCAATCTGCGGGCAAAGAGACAAGGAAAGGGTGAACACTTGAATTATTATTATAACGTTGCTTTGTTTAAAAGACAAAGTTCTTAAAATTCCTTAAGAGTAACAGCAAGAGAGGACTTTACCCTTACTGCCATTTTCTTATTGATCTCCAACAAGCCGTCAACTTCACCTGCCTTTGAAATGAAAAGAGCACACTGAGAAAAACACACACAGACCTGATAACACAGGCATCTTCAATGGCTTCAGTAAAAAGAGGCCAACTTTAGGTCAACGGTCAATTAAGACAGCGCTAACACTCACACAACAAAACTCCAAAGCCAATTGGCTTTAGACTAGATCATATTTCAAGGCAACCTTCCACAAAATGATAACTTGTGTCCTTACGCAGTCTTTCGTTCTACATTGGCAAATACAAATTATATATATATTACTTTTTTGTTGTTACAATACCTGTATAATGGCTAAAAGGGGTTGAATTGCTGGGTTTCTTCTATGGAGGGCCAACATTGCCTCCTTGGTGCTCTGAACCACTTCCCTGTGAAAGAAAATTAACTTGTTAGCAATGAATCTGCATTAATCCATTAAGGCTACACATAGGATTATAAGATGAATTAAATCACAAACATTAGGTCAAATATACTTTCTGTTTAACATTTGGGGAAAGGTATCCTAAACAAAAAAGTGTATACCGTTTCTAACTTCTCTGCTTGTTGGAGAGCTGGTAGGAATGATGAAACACTACATTATTCCTCGTATGCTCTCACTTACCCTACTCAAATGAAACAATTATCCTCCTAGTGAAACTCCTTTAAACTTGCCTGGATCCAAAGTTTTGAATTTACCAACAACACTGAGTTCAAGTGGACAAAAATAGTTTGATATAAGATACAAATATAAACAGTAACTCAAATAAAAAACATTGGAAAGAGTGTGGCTTGGATATATTAGCTACTGTTGAAGGAATACAACATCTACTAAGAACAAAACAAAGGAAACATTGAAATATATGTCAAATAATAAAATAATAGAATCAAAAAACCCTTCGGTGGAAGTTGCATCCGTTGGCCGCCTTACTACCTTACTTTATATATACAGTCTATGCTTACTCCACGTGATACGGTGTGTGTTATGGTTATGGTGAACAGTTAACCCACTGACTTACATGTTGTCAAAACGTCAACATCGCCCTAGTCGTATCAATGAATGTAATGTTAAGTACGATATCATGTAGTAGTAAAATACATATTTTGTCACTATCAAGTACGATACAACTTCCATGAAAAACTATGCAAACAAGCAGTGGTGATGTTGCAAAAATGCAACAGTAAAAGTATTCAGCTCGACCTATTTTTTAACCCATGGGAAGGTAGTGAGGTTTACTGCTTATAAATACAGTCACATTTTGGCCTCGTGTGTTTTTGGCAACAACAAAGAAAAGTTACATCAGCTTTCTGGAGTCTCTCTGATATTAACATCGCACGTGATGAACTGAATGCCAACCATGAGCATCACACACGCCGGCGGACCGGAAGTACATAACTTAGGAAAACACCTACATTACTTATTTTAGGTTAACACATATAACATTAATACAGTTATTTGTGGTCCCGTATTCCAATGTAAACACTACTTCCTCACCTCAAGGAACTGTCGCATTCAAACCCATCATCATTTTGGGACAGTTTCCCGAAGTTGACGGATAGTTTCGGGTTGGTTCCCCCGCTGCTGGTAGCGCTTGCGGTCCGGAGGATCATCCGGCTGTTAGCAGGACCAACCGGGGGGCATCTCCGCGTAAAACCGCTCACCCTGCTTCCTGAACGGGCTGGGTGTATCCGAAGGCTGCCACACGCACTACGAATCATAGACAACTTCATGGCTATTTCTTCAAGTTTTTTTCCCCGTGTCGTTTAAAGTTTGCTCTGTGTGTGTGTCTTGCGGTGGTCAGCAAGGGATTCAACCTATAGGAGGAACAAAAAAAGTCTGCAACGGGGTCCTGATGGAGGAAAGTCGCATCCAGGGAGAGTGGGAGTTTTAAAACTCGGCATGCTTGAACAACCCACACTTTTTGAAAACAGCACAACAACGTGACGCACTCATTATGACTGAATATTCAGCACAATTTTAAGGATTTCGTTAGGACATTATTCACCACTGTGTGTGGTTTAATACTAGCGTTCAACGTATGTGCATTTTCTATGTTTTTTCATGGTATTCACTTTACACCAACACAGCAACAGTTGGACAGTGTCAGCGTGAAACGATGTAAACAGAATGTTGGGAGCTATGGTTGAGAGTTAGCCCACCCTTCTCTTTTTGATATTTTTGCTGTTTACTTTTAATAAACAACACGCACGTTGTTTAGTCAAATATAGGAAGTGTTCGTCTCTATTTTCTCAAAACTTCTACAATGTAATAATTTAAAAGTAAACCTCATAACTTAAGAAGTATTTGTCTTCCCCGTCGAAACGTTATTATTAAAGTTATCGATCAGAATGTTTTTGGCGTAAGGTCTGTATTTTGACATTAATAGAGCTATCAAATTTCCGAGGAACACTTGAAGGCAGCATCCTTAGAAGAAGGGATGTGGTCTCGGCTACGAGCGTGCGCGTGCACGTGCTATATGATATTTACAAGAGAGAGGCGAAGTCAGTTCCATTATACATCCATGGTTTATAGACTATGATATACATTTATTTAAGACTACTCATTGAACAATAGGATGAGAAATAGGCTTGGAGTAAATGTTATTAAAGTTTAACACATATTTCAATAAAAATGAATTAGATATATTTGTGTAAAAAGAAAATAAAGTTATTCCAAATAGAATTAATGCTAAAGTGATCTCATGTGTCTACTGCACAGTGTTGGATGACTTTACAGCCTCAACCTTAATGAACATTTGCTCTTAAATGTCCTTGTATGTCTTGACATATAACTTGACAGGCCAATCAACACACACAAACCCTCACACATCACGTGCCTAACTGTGGAAGTAATATGGGCTTGGCTGAGAACATTTTGAGATTAGTGAACCTCAAAACGGTACGCTATTAGCCTTGCACCATGACGGCAGTTCGAGGAACACAGTTGGTGATTGACACCTGTCTTGGGCTACACTCAAGATTATCTAACAATTCAGATTTATTAGAATAAAGATACAAATTGAAATTGGCACTTCTCTGGTTCGTACTGGTTCATACACGACCAGCTGCTCACGCCTCTTCCCACCAGATTGACGCTTCTGACATGCAGCGTCACTGCAAAGGCCAAACCGATCTAAACCAACCGGGCTTCATTCCTTAAATCACGTCATTACAGGCACATGGCGTGGCGCAATCCATCCCTCAACAAAATCACAGTTGAATACCAGTTCTGGCTCCAAAGACTGCAGCTGTAGGGCCCTGCTTGTTCCTGAGCACTGTAGGATGGTGTTGTGGCACCACGGCCACCTTACATTAATAGACAAACTTTGATATCTGTGTGAACAGCGGAGCACATCAGGTAAGGAGCTTTTATTTTAAACCTTCACTCCTGCATTACATTGAGAACACCTTTGACAAGCAACAGGGCGAAATTGTAGGAAATGGGTCACCTTTTATACCTGGTTTGTGTTGTAGTCTATCATGAAATGTGCCTGAGATACATGGGTTGATAGATAGGCCTACTTGACAAAATACAGTCGTGGCGTAATGCTAACATAATGTTGTTAAAATGACTTTACTTAGCTATAATATTGCTTAAAGCTGGTACCATTAATGTAGTATACAGTGTTAACTGTATAGGTACCAACAGCAACAGTATGTGATATAGCCCATTTTTCAGGATTTTTGAGCTACAGTAATGGGTTCTAAAATAATGACCAGGCACACTCTTGTCAAGATTATGTGTTCATACATTTTAATACTTTATCCACTATATTAAACTGTTAAGGACTTAGCTGAAACTGGTTAAAGACAACCATAAGATAAGTAAAGAGTTCCTGAAGTTTGAGAAAGTTTTGGTCGAGAAGCCTTTTAGACTTCCTTGTAATGATGACCTGTTGTCTTTTTTCAAATGGGAAATATTTTAATTTTAGAGTATTGCTCAAACATGAGAGCCAGGGTAGGCCTATATCTGCTACATCTGATTTCTCAGTAAGATTATAAATCAAAATGAATGTCTGGATAAAGAGTCAGACACATCACAAGTTAAAATAACTAGTTTGGTGAGGAGCAACACCTTTGACTATTCTTAGGAGAACCTGTTAGGCCGGTGCGTGATGGCTGATGGAAGAAAGAATGGCTTCTTAACAGGCACGACAGCTTAAATGAGAATGGGTGTGTTTGAACTTGCAAATGTTTTTAGTTTGGATCTTAAATGTTATCTGTCAGTTTTTTGCATTTTTTTTTATCAAGCCATCTATGGTAAACACATTCCAATGGCTGTGAATTAGATATGTTTTGTTGTTTCCTCTTCATCAATGTGTTTTTAGAAGAGGAAAGATAACCAGCCAGAAAAACATTTTGACATGTGTATTTACAGCCCAACCATGAGGGACAGACTGAGCAACCTGCAGCAAATGTCCAGCGGACCTGTGGAGCAGATGGAGTATGCCGAGTCCACTGTCTCCGAGGCCTTCAGTACCGTGGACCTGGAGGAGGAGTTGACACATGAGGCCGTGGTGTTTGACAACAGCCCGGCTCTGGATGAGGTTTTTTCCCATTCGCAGGACATCCACAGAGAGGTCCAGCTCATCCGACTGGATATCAAAAGGCTTCGCGAGCATAACTCCCGCATGGTCGGTGGTGTCACAACCATGAGCATTATCAAAAGGGACTCCAACGCTATTGGTGCTGACATAAAGTCTCGAGCTGAGGAGGTGCTGGCACGCCTGCAGGTCATGGACGGCGAGGCAAAAAAGCTTGAAGAAGAATATGGCTCAAATTCCGCCGTAACACGAATTGCGAGAACCCAGTATGCTAGCCTCAGCAATGGTTTCCGCGACACCATGTTTGACTATAATGAGGCTGAGATGAGCCATCGAGAAAACTGTAAAGCCCAGATCCAGAGGCAAATGGAGATAGTGGGACGCGAGGTGACAGGAGAGGAAGTGGAGGAGATGATCGAGAAAGGTCAGTTACACATCTTTAATGACAACATTATGGCTGAAGGTAAAACGGCTCGATCAGCTCTGTCCCAGATTGAGAAACGCCACCAAGAGTTGATTGACCTGGAGTCACGTATCCAAGGCATCCATGAGATTTTCCTGGACATTGCCATGCTGGTTGAGGAGCAGGGCCCCATGCTGAATGCCATCCAAACCAACGTGCAGAAGACCGATGAAAGCATACAGGAGGCACTCGTTAAACTCGGCAGGGCCCAACGTCACGACAAAAACAACCCCTTTAGAAAGATGTTTTGCAGCTGTTTCCCCTGCGTCGACTAATGACTACAGTACAGTACAAACATGGGTAGTGATTTCGAAATTACAATGCTGTCTAGACAAGGAAAAGTGGGGAATTTTAAGAACATTTTCTGTATGTTTCAATTGTACAAACTTCAATATTGATAAAAGTTAAAACTCTTGTGTCTAGATTTAAAGACAAGGGTAAAATATTTGTAATATTGTATTTAAGTGATCCCTCGACCTCTAATGTTTGAGACAGGTATCTCAAATCCAAATTCATTCCCCTATGATGCAGGTGTCATGCCTCGAGCAAATGGTATTTGAAAATGTTGTTTATGTTTTGAATGTCTGCTGAGTTTCCACATGTGAGGGATTTATCATAATGCAATGACTGCAACACGTAAATTCATTTATGCAATTGTTTCTGAGATTATATTGTATAGAGTCTTATGAAGCCTTTTATGTAATTAAATGTGTCGCTTCATCTCAATTCACTGGTAAAAATAGCTATTCTTGACTTACGGCTGAAATAAATTTGACTTGATTTTTGATTAAATTGTTAATATATTCTGCATTCTTTTCTCTATATATATAAATCATAATATTGGGTCAAAATAAATCAGCCTTTTTGTGATTACCATTACACTCCTCCCCATCTCCCATTATTGTCTTATCTTTACTGTTTCTTTTACCACCAGTAGGCCTACATTACAGCAGCCTAATAGGATGTCAGTCGCAATGTTATGTACCTGGATCTTTTACTTTACACTGCTATTTTATGATTGTATGTCTGATAATACCTTTCTTCTGTGGTGTCATATATTACATAAATAGTTATATTAAAAGTTGGTGTGAGTTTGGCTTTATTCTTATTTAAACATGAAATTAACCCGTGTGCTTAAGTATTAACATCTGAATGTTCTCTAAACATTTGAGTAAAAGTACTTATAATTATGTTATTCAAATATGATCACGTTGGAGCACATTTTAACTCCATATCTTATATACTGTTGGACAGTTTAATTTTAAAGTATAATATTATAATAATTCATCAAATGTTTTGTTTGTATAATCTTAGCCTGTAAATAGTAATAGATTTCCCTGAGTTTTAGTAGTAGAAGTATAAACTAGCATAACATTTAAATACTGTATGTAAAGTTAAAGTACTTGAAAATTGCACGTAAGTCCAGTACTTGAGTAAATGTAGTTAGTTTCCACTACTGCAATTATAAACCCTATATGTACAAGGTTCAGGAAATAGGCCTGAGCCTTTTGAATCATCTAGACACACACACGCACACACACACTCACACAGGTGTCATCACTTTACAAACTTATGGCAGCTGCATTGCATTAGCCCAGTGGTGCACTATCAAATATTTAAGTATAGCTTCAGATATCCAGAATAACTTTTTCATGAACACACTGAATGTTAGTGAATCCCTTCGCTTCCTGAAGTGAACAGTCAATTAACCAAATAGAAAAATGCGTCTTCCTTCAAGGAAGTATTGAGTGTTGCAGTAGGAGTGCCCATGTTGGTCACCTGAGGAGGGGCGTCAGTCACAGACATGCTGAACACAAAGCGACCAGACAACTTCCTTTCTCAGAATAAAATATGCATTGCCCAGGCACCTTGGAACAAATTAATCAGCAAAATACACTTTGAAGGAAATTACTTGCTTCCTGTTTTTGTGGGAGCCACTCACAAGAGGTAAGAAAGTTTGAATTTACAGCATTTTGGGGGGTTTTATGTGTAGCAAAGCATCTGGAGACCAGTAGATTAACTGGACATACATAGTGCAGAAAAATGGGATTAATTTAATGGACATAAAGAAGACAATATATAATAAACATTTTCACACATTGTGACAATAAATGTGATTTTCTTCAATTGTTTTACTATTGTGACATGGGGAAATTGATTTTATTCAGTCTATTGACAGAATGAGACTACGAGAGAATACAAGACAGATATTAAAGCAAGACCCACCATTTTGAAAGGTTTTGCAACATGCAGTTTACAAACAGTTTTTATTGAGATACTTCTAAAACATATATCGTCTAACAATATTTTCTGTCTAACCCCACTTTCAATGGAAATATCTGCTTTTCAACAAGACAGTGCCTTCCTTGTTCCTGGTTTTAAAAAGTGCTTTGAGCTGTCACTGCTGTCATTGTTTTAAGTTGTTAAAGTAGAAAATACTGCAGAGAAACTGACCCATTATTGTTGGAGTATATATAACCCTAACAGGTTAGCTCTGTATGTGGTTTAGTTTCCCTGGGTAAATGAAATATGAACCTATTCATGTTGTCATCAGGGTACTCAATGTTAAATATTATTATTATTATTAAATCGAAGGTTATACCAATACGAGTATGCTTAAGTATGTCGAACCTGAAACTTTTTTTCAGTACACAGTATTGGTACTATCCACATATTCCCTAAATAAATACCAAAAATTCAAAATAAAGAAAAACTCAAATTACAAATGCCAAGAAATAAGATAGACAATACCAACAAATGCAGTCAAAGCCACATTTTGAACTGAGTTGACAGGAAATACAGGCATTTATAAATGTTTAACCATATGATCGATAATTAGACCTATGATTAGAAATCTTATCTATGGAATTGTATTTTCAACACAAACGTACACAAGAACCAAAGCGAGACCCTTGATAGACACTTCAGATTAAAGCCTTTCCTTAATATAATGTAGACTTGAAATTATCAACATATTTTTTTGCATGGGTCTCTCAGGCAGGATGCTGGACATGCTGGAGAGGCTGCAGACCATCAGTGAGGGGCAGGAGGACGACGAGTCAGACTGCTACGAACCTGAGTATGATGTAGACAAGGTGACTCTGTCTCAAGAGGCAGTGGTGTTTGAGAACTCCTCTGACATTGACAACATCCTGGGGGAGGCCTACTCAATAAGAAAGGATATCTCCCTGCTCCAATCGGAGATACAGCGTCTGAGCACCCACAATGAACGCTTTGGCACCACTGTGCGGTGTCTCACCTTGCTCAAAAAGGACTCTGACTCCATCGCTAGGGGGATCCAGCAACATGGGGAGGGCCTGTATGTCTGCCTTCAGGCTCTAGATGAGAAGAGCAGACGGCTGGAGGAGAAAAAGGGTCCAAATGCTGCTGTGAGCCGCATTTCCCGAGCTCAGTATGACACACTGACCCGTGCCTTCCATGATGCCATGAGTGATTACAATAAGGCGGAAGAGATGCAGAGGTACACATGTCGGGGGAGGATTCAGAGGCAGGCCTCTATAATGGGGACTGAAATCACTGATGACCAGCTGGATTTGATGGTGGACAAAGGTGGTGAGGGATGGGCTGAGCTGTCCCAGAGCCTGGAGATCCAAAGTGCACGCTCGTCCCGCTCGGCGATGTCTGACATCAAAGGCCGACACAAGGAGCTGGTGGAGCTGGAGGTCCGGCTGAAGGAGGTCCATTCACTGTTCCTGCAAATGGCCATGCTGGTGGAGGAGCAGGGATCCATGGTTAATAACATTGAGGCAAATGTGTGTTGCACTCAGGAATACGTTAACAAAATCAACGTTAACATGAAGACGGCCCTAAAGTATAAGAAGAAGAATCCTTTTCAGCAATGTTGTCCCTGTCTACCTTGTTGGGGACACAACCAAACTCTTTAGGGCTTATTTTTACTTTATGTCATTATTTTAATTATTTAAAAGTTGAATAAACATTTACCTGTGTAAAAGGTTATGGACAGTTGAAAAAGAATGTTTGTACATTTTAAAAGGATGTTATTTGAATTGAAATGTTTAAGCTTACGGACGCAAAATAAATAATGTTATAGTAAATCAAAAGTTTGTTGTCCTTGGAAGAAGATCAACAGTAAGTTGGTTACGGGGATACAAAGTACAATTGTTTTGATGTTGAAGAATTGGGTTCATGAGAGCTCGTGGTATTAAGGATGGAGAGCGATAAAATGTGACTGAAACAGACATTAAATAAAGACGTATGAGAAAAGTTGAAATACTAAAAAGGATGAGAGATGTTTAATATTGCTGACAAAAACGCAAGTTTGGCACGAATGATCATTTGACGTGGTTGGTCATGAGAGACAGCATGGGGAAAACCAGGTATGCACAAATACCTTAAATACAGTGAGTAAACAGTGAGTTCACATGCAGATTGTAAACACCAGAAATGGCACTATATAGTAAAACAAAGAGAAAATAAAACTACGTGGCTCTCCCAAATTATCCATCAGTCTACCTGTTGACATTTTTGATTTCAGAAAAGATGCGACTTTTATTTGAGCCCATGACATAACTGAATCTATTTTCTGATTTTAAAATTGTAGTGATAGTTTTTAATTACATTATATGTCAAACTGTAAGCTCCTAAAAGAAAGCAAATGATGCAGACACATTTGTGTGTTTAGGGGTGAATTCTACTCCACTCATTACTTGCCTTTTTCTTAGTGGAATAACCTGCAAATCTCACATTGTCCAATTTTATTTGCTTGGGGCAAAACGCCACTGGGCTCTTGTTTGCATTTCTTCTTGGTGCTCTGTACGATTAATTTGATTACAACAAATATGAAACATAATAGTTATGGCTATCAGCTGAGATAATAAAGGTTCTAAAGTTGGATGTTGTAAAAGCATGCTTAATTGTTTTTTTGTATCATTCTTACTCACTGAAACAGTTTGAGTAGAACCCAGAGCCCTAGAGATACTAAGTTATATATATATATATATATATATATATATATAGTATCTATAGGGCTCTGGTAGAACCAGTCTATGGGTATAACCCAGTTAAAGAGTTGTGTCTTATTTGTCCAGTGAAGTCATAATATCTGGTATTGGTCACATGGAAGCTACTGAAAAAAAGATCTTCTGTTAAAATATGTTTGCATAATTTTCACTAATGAGCATGGAGGTATTAAAAACATTGGTGAATGTGAAACCCGGGTTAATAGGAGGAAGACGTTTCTGAATCAAAAGTGAAACACAACAGTAGGACAGAAGTGGATCAGGACTCAGGAGTAATTGACTACGTAGGCTATCACTGTTTGGTTGTTTATTTCACTTCGACATAATTGTACTTATTGGATTCAGTCGTAACATGCAAAGAATATAGTTATTACAGTTGTCAGATAAGTGTAGTTAAGTAAAAAGTATAATATTTGTCTCTTAAATTGCAGCGGAGAGGAGGCGGAGTCTGAGTATAGTGAGTATTATTACGACTTACGTTGGTGACTTGAAACCTTTTCTAAAGTTAGTCTATTACTGGGAGCACAAACGGCAAAATAATGCTTTGCTTGTAAGGCTGCATTCGAATTATTTGTATACATCAGTGTTTCTACCATAGGTTTCAACCATAGACTGTATATATAAAGGTTTCAACGTATGATATGAACATGTTTACTCCAGTAGGCCTATCACTGATTCTTGGGAATTTGGATAAAACAAGTTTTAATTTTGAGAATAAAAAGTTTGTTAAATTACAAAATCTGAAGTTATATCATTATAGACCAAGGTCTTGGCTGTTCAGCAATGTACCGGTGCAACCTCCTCATTTTGTATTTTTTTCATAAAATAGGTTTTTCCAGTCATTACTTTGTTTTTGTAAACACCGTCAGACACAATAAAAAGTGATTTATTTTTTATTTGTATTTAGTCTAATATGTATTTAGAGCTTTTAAATCATTATCTGGCATTCTAAGTACACATATATGCTGTAAAATGTTGAATATTCACTTTTGCTCATTTTTTATACTGTTTCACGTGTGCTCCTTTAAAAGATCTTACATCATACAATGTTTACTTTTAGCTTAAACAGACAAAGTAATGTTTTTTTACTTAAAAAACACATTTTTGTATTAAAAGAGACTATTACTTTAATAACTCAACAGCACTGAAGAAACAGATTACAAGCATATTCATTTAAAACAAATAAAACTCCCTGACGGTGGTGACTTTGGAACTGACGGTGGTGACACTAATCTGACGGTGGTGACACTGGCCTCATTACAACATACAATTCCAAAATGTATACCACTCAAGTCAATGCCTTACTTAACAACTTTATTTAACAATTTGGTACAACAAATAACAATTGTGAGAACTGTGATAAACATTTAATTAAGGAACTTAAGGTACATTTAAGCAATATCATTAATAAAAGTAACCCACCCCCATATCATCAAATATCAAATCATCATAGTTAAAAAATAAAGTGATTACCAGTTGCAATAATGTACAATTCATTACTGACATCATCTTAAACTGTCATCTAGTGCCCCCTACTCATAAAATAATACATTATATTGTTCTTTAAACTGTATATTGGACGTGAAGAACAGATAACAAATAACAATTGTGAACACTGTGGCAAACATTCAATAAGAAACATATAGGTTCAATGAAGCAATAAGCTATCATTAATAAAAGTACCCCATCCCCATTAATAATCATCATAGTAAAAGATACCAGTAGCAATAAGATAAGAATTCATCACTCACTGTGAACTGAGTGCCCCCCACTCAAAACATAATATACATTATATTCTTCTGTATATTGGACGTGAAGAACAGATAAATGAATAACTACATCTTAAAGTCTCTTTTCCATAAACTGAAATGTTTCTAAATACAGAAAGCATTCTGTGTAAACATCACAAAACACATCTGGCACAAAAATAATAATAATTCATAAGTGAACTCCTGGGAGTATTCCCTGACTGTTTCTACATCACTCCACCACTCATTCAGCTTTATCAGGACGTAGGCCTATATGGTGTATATGTTTCTCCTCTATGAAGTCCATGACTGCAGCATAGTATTAATTTCGTCAGCTATTTTTTAATTTTGTTTTAGTCTTAGTCCTCTGTTAAATTTTCTTTTTAGTTTTAGTCATATTTAGTCACCTTCATCCTGTTTTAATTTAGTCAAGCTTTAGTCGACTAAAAGTCTGAGCATTTTAGTCTTATTTTAGTCGACTAAAACAGTAACTATTTTAGTCAAGATTTAGTCGATTAAAAGTCTGAGCATTTTAGTCTTATTTTAGTCAAAGAAAACTAATTATTTTAGTCTACTTTTTGTCAATGAAAACTGTTGAGTCTTTTTTAGTCATCAGATTATATAGAACATTTCAGTCAAACTAGTCTAGCCAAAACCAATAATTTGTCATTTTAGTATATATAAATAAATACGATTATATCTTGTCCTTATTTGATGAAAAACACAGGTTGAATGATTAAGAATGCAGCTTCGCAGAGTGTATCTGGTTTGTGGTGTTTTCACCAGCTGTGTTTTGGCCACATTGCTTCCCTTCTGATGAAACAATGCATTCGCTTTTTTTCTCCGCCTCATTGTAGTGAAAATGGGCCCAAATATCACATTGTTTCTTTCTCCCAAGCAGTGGTGGCTTTAGACTTGTTCGTTGTCAGTCATTTTGATGGACAGGATCGTAACTTTTCCGTCATAATCCATTATTATCCGTCGAGTGCACAATGTATCACTCACTCGCGCTGACGGGGGGGGTATTCGGTTAACGCGAGTGCGACCACTGCTCCCAAGCCCTGTTGTTGCCATTTCATTTTCTGTTGAATAAGGTTAGTTAGACCATGAGTTAGACCCGAGTCTTCCTGACAGTTCACAGTGTGCCGCTGCCCGGTGTAATTCAAATCTACCGCCACGCGCAGCACAGACACACAGCTGCTGCCCAGCCGCAGCACGGACACACAGCTGCTGCCCAGCCGCAGCACCGGAAATGGAACTGCTGGGAGAAAAACTGCCTATCAGAGATCTAACGTTATCTTTGATAATATTTCGTCTCCTCATTTTTCGTCAACGAAAGTAAAGAGAGATTTTGGCATAGTTTTTATTTAGTAAACTACATTTTCGTCTCGTCACTTTTCGTCAACGATATTGCATGATGATTTTGTTGCAGTTATTATTTACTGCCGTCGGTGCCGTCTCGTCATCGTCTCGTTTTCGTCATGGAAAAAAAGGTCGTTGACGAAGATATTTCGTCATAGTTTTAGTCAACAAAATTAACACTACTTCAGCAGACAGGTTGTATATCTCCCTCGTCCTGCTTGCACGACCTGGTGATGACGGTTCCACAAGTTTGACCAGAATATGGTCAAATGGTATGAAGCACATATCCTTTCCACCTTCCACCTCTTTTAGATAGAATCGTGTGTTGGGCCCATGAGAGTGGAAAAACTCCACTTTCACATCTTGATGAGGTGCATCCACAGTGACAGCCTTTGCTAACCACCAGTTCTGGTCATAAATGACCGCCAGCCAATCTCCGCAATGAACTACATCAGCAGATAGATCTGTCATAGTCCCGTCAGGACCACTCCTAGTCATTGGCTGTTGCTCAAATTCAAGGGTGGAAATATATTGTTTTAACATATATTTGGTTAAATGTTGTCATGCCATTTTCATTTGGCTTTAGTCATTGGAGATGCATAGCCTACAAGGGATATTGTAGGTGTACTATGTGCTATGTAGGTAGGTAGTAGGTGCACTATGTGCATCCCCCATGACGTAAGCCAAATGAACATGGCATAATAGTGAATTTAGAAAGAGAGAAGGCACACCTCATCCCCTAGGATTGAGCGATAGGCCGATGGCATATATATATATGGTTCATCAATGGTGGTA